AGAATAATGAAAAAAAGAAGTAGGAATGAAGGGGGAACAGCATTTCCATCTCTCAAGTTATGTTGTGAAGTAATAACTATTAAAACCATTTGGTGCAGGTTAAAAATAGTGGAACAGAGTAGATAAGGAAGAGTCAGAAACAATTTAACTCAATGACTGAGCATTCAATAAACCAAAGAACATAAGTGACTTGGAAAACAACTCCTTGTCTAAGAACTTTGGGAAAGACTGGAAAATAGATTGGCAGAAATTAGTGTAGACCATCTTCCTACACCACACACCACTGTAAGAAGGATTGCAAACTACTCACTACTGTATGAAAGATTGCTCCGAATCAATAGTAATAACAGCAATGCAGATGGAAACAATTGTGAGGGTTCACTTCATGCCCTGAAAATGGACAAAGATGTCAAAATACGGAAATAGTCGATACTGGAGGGAACATAGAAAGGTAGGCACACCAATACACTTCCAGTAAAGCAGTGAATAGACCCAAACCATTCTGAAAAGCAATTGGCAACTATGGTAAAAAATTGACCAAAATATTCTTACTCCATCCACTGAAGCTAGTGTGAAGCTACTTTTGAGGACCCAATAGTTAAATTTCAGCATGAGCCTTTACACCTCAGAAACTGGTAACTGTTACAAACAGTGGTTTAATTTTTTGCTTTGTCTTAAGAATCTGATGGAGAAAATGTGTGTAGTGCATACATTGCCTTAGCTATTATTAAACCAGCTTACCCCTCATTATGACCCAGAGTTACCATTTCTAGGCTTGTACCTCAAGGAGGTCAAAGATAGAAAGAGTAATCCAATATATACTCAGATATGTATAGCAGCACTTTTTTGTGGCAGTAACTAGAAATAAAGTAGATGCCCAGTGATTGGGGAATGGCAAAACCAATTGTGATCCATGAATGTGATGGAATATTACTGTGCCATAAGAAACGATGAATATGCTGAATTCAGGAAGTAGTATATGAATGGATGATGAGTAAAGTAAGCCGAAGAAAACGATATACACAAGGATTAGAACACTGTAAATGTGAAGAAGCCAAAATATGAAGCAGAACCATGGGTAGTCACAATGACAGTCTTCTCTCAAGCTGCCCTTTTAGCACAGGTGTCTGAAAGGTGGTCATGGAATGTTCCACATACTGTCAGATTGTGGTTGATGTGTTGTGTAATTTTACAGAACTGATTTCTTTGAAAAACTTAGTTGTTGTGGATAGAGCACCGGCCTTGGAGTCAGGAGGACCTGGGTTCAAATTCAGCCTCAGACACATAACACTTACTAGCTGTGTGACCCTGGGCAGGTCACTTAACCCCATTGCCTAACAAAAACACACAAACAAACAAACAAAAAACCCCAACAACAATAAAAACTTAGTTGTTGAGGGAGTCTGAATGCAGATCAAAGGATACTATTTTTCACTTCCTGTATTTTTTTTCATCTTTTCCCCCCCTTTGGGTCTGTGTCTTCTTTTACAACATGACTAAAATCGTAATACATTTTACATGGTTGAACATATACAACCCATATCAAATTGCTTGCTGTCTCAGGGAGGGAGGGGGTGAGGGAGGGAGAAAGAAAATTTGGAACTCAAAATTTAAAAAAAATAAATGTTAAAAATTGTCTTTACAAGTAACTGGGGGAAAATAAAATATAATTAAAAAATAAACTCAACTCTGAGGGATGGGTACTGATTAGTGAGTAGGGGGTGGGGAGAGTTATTTGAAAATGAATAGGATGTGAAAACCAAAAAAATTAGGAAAATAAAACTCTTATATAAGAAAAGATGAAAACTGCTTTTTGGGGGTTCAGTGTTTTTGCTAAAGCAACTGATTGGTGAGACAAGAAGATCAGATTTCTTTATTGCTTTCTATCTTTTTGTAATGGAAATCCCCTGGATTTGTAGTCCAAAGATCTGCATGTAAATTCTGCCTCTGACACTTTGTGTGACCTTAGGCAAGTCACCAAATATTTTTGAACCTCAACATCCTCATCTGTAAAATGGGGAGAATATACCGGCAATAGCTACCTATCTCACAGTATCATTGTCAGGAATGTGCTTTGTAAACTTTAAACTGTGAGTTACTGTTGCTATTATTTGGTCAAAAGACCTGGTTTTAAATCCTAGTTTTGTCATTTGCTACTTTTATGACCTTGGGCAAGTTACTCTCCCTCTGTAGGCCTCAGTTTCCTTCTCTGTAAAGTGAGAGTTGGACAAGATGGTCCCGAGGAGGCCTCTCTTCTGAATTCCAGGGTCCTTTGTTGGCACCTTGCATACGAGACCTCTTATCTTTTCATCTGTGTTTGACTTGTCTCTCCAACTAGACTGTGAGCTCCCGGGAGGCAGGAGCTATTTTTCTAATTAAGTTAAGCAAGGCATAGGCGGATGGATGCCTCTACTTCCTCACTCTCTACTCTCTCTCCTCAACCCCTTGTAAATTGGGATTACTGCATGGGTAAACAAGCTGAGACCTGGCAAAGACCTTAGCTTGAAAAGGCCAAGATCTCCCACTGCATCCGAGGCCATCACCAGTTAACTTCTCCTATATGTCTTGCCACTGGACCCCAGTGACTTGGGAGGAGAGAGTGAGGCGAACAGTTTTTCGCAGCCCTGCCTCACTCAAATCCGATTCACTTGCAAGTCAAGACATCACCTTCCTGATATCCTTGGTCCTCTTTGAGAAGGAAGGGCACACAAGAACAAAACAGGAACAAAGATCTGTTAACACCCTCCTTTGTCAAAATGCCCTCTCCGAAGACTTCCTAATTGCTAAAATCAGTGGTTCACCCTTACTTTTCAGCCTCAGTCTCTCCAAAATGTTTCACACCATTGACTATCCCCCTCTTTTATGTATTCTTTGTTTGTACAGATTTGTTTGCTAACAAGCACCCCATTAGATTGAGAGTTTCTTGAGAGCAGGGTCTGTCTTTTGCCCCTTTCTGTATCCCCAGCACTCAGCGCAGTGCCCGGAACTCAGTTGGTCATTATTAACAAATGTCTTTCGTTCTTACTGACTGACCTACTCTTCTCAAGGCTTCAGATATACCACACTCTCCTCCTGGTCCTTTTCTCAGCTTCATTTATTCAATTACCAAGCAAATGTTTACTATGTGCCAGGGGCTGGGGATACAAAAGCTACAACTGAGATAGCTCCTGCCCTCATGTAACTTATATTCTATTGATTATATGTAGACAAATACAACATTTATATAGAAGAAATGTGAAGTGGAAGGGGAGGGGTGCTACCAAGGAAAGATCATGAAAGGCACTGCATAGGAAGTGATCAAGATGAGTCTTAAATGAAATTAGAGATTCCAGAATGTAGAGACCACACTCAGAAAATAGCAGAATTTTATACTTCCATTTGGTACATTTGATGGGTGCTTTTTAAAATTTTGCCTATGTTTGTTTTTTGTTGAGAGCTACTAAGTTTATATTTTTAAAATATAAAAGGCTGCATAGAAATATGAATGTCATTTTCAAATATATCCATTTCCTTCCTTTCCTTACCTTACTTAGCAAGATATCCCTTCTAATTAAGATTTAAAATTGAAAAAAAAATGTTAAAATCCACCAACGTATTGACATCAGTCTGACAGTGTGTCTAATACTCCACAGTCATAGACCTCCACCCTTCCAAACAAAGGGTTTACTGTTTATTGTAAAAAAAACAACAACAAATAAACAAACCACCCAACAACAGTGAAATTAACTCTAACAAGTGATAAAATTGTTTTATATAGTTTTCTGTCTGCTTTCTTAGCTTTGCATCATTTTATATAGTTCTTCCCACATTCTTTGCATTCTTCTGATTCCATTCCATTCTGTTTATTAAAAAAAAACAACCCACAAAACATTTATTCAACCATTTCTCAAGTATCAGACCCATGACTTTAAAATCCAACTCAAATGCTACCTCCTCCAGGAAGTCCTTCCTGATCCTCACAGCCAGTGATGACCTTTTCATCTTTGGAACTCACATAGCAAAATCTGCTACAATACATATTTTCCTTCTCTGTCAGAATATTTTATATTATATGTATTTTTTTTCCTTTTAGCCCCTTTCCCCCCTCAATGTCCTCAAAGACAAGAACTTTGTCTTATCTAAACTTTGATCTCTCCCGTTTCTTAGTCTAGGTTCTGCACACTTAACTGATGTCTTTTGAATGGAATTGAATAGAAAACCTTCAGGCTATTGCAGTGCTTAGCACCCAGCTGCTCACAGAATATTTGGTGATTGATTGATGGATGGCCTGATTAGTCCTCAGACAGCTGAGAGTAAGATAGATGCTGGATTAATTAGATCCGGGGTTCTTAACCTTTTCTTTTCTTTGTCAGTCTGGTAAAGTCTTTGTACCCTTTCTCAGAATGTTTTTAAATGCATAAAATGAAATACAAAGCATTATAAGAGAAACTGATTATTTTGAAATACAGTTATCAATATATTTAAAAAGCAAATTCTCTTGTCTCATGTTAAGAACCCTTGAATCAGATTGCAGAGGGGGAAAGGGATGGTCTGGTGGTTGGAGATCTGAAGTGAGAGGGACACTTATGTAGGGGTTTGTAGGGTTCAGAGATGGAAAGGACTTTAGCAGTCAGTTAATCCAAGCCCCTCATTTTACAGAGGAATAGAAAACCTAGAGAGGGGAAATCACTTGCCCAAGATCACACAGCTAGTAAGGAGCAGACCAGAGGAAATTAAACCCAGGTTTTTTTAATTCTTTTTCTTCATCAGCTGTCCCTGCTCGAGAAGTTTGGGAGGGCAGCCTGGAGAAAGGGAGATGCACCCTTGGGATCTGGGTGGATTGGTCAGGTGAGGCCAATTTTGGGCAGGAGTTGGGGGCGCTGCACCCCTCCTTCCGGCACCAGGCTCACCTTCTCAGTACAGAGCCCGGGCAGCTGCAATGTCTCCCAGGGGCCTTAAGAGGGGAATGCTGAGCTCCTTCGTCTTCTCTCTGTTGCTTCCTGTCATACCAGGCTGGAGGAAGTGGGAGGTGGGGCCGGAGTGCTAGCAGCCGCCCCGCCCCTCAGCTTCAGGGAGCCAGGCCGGCCCGCGGTGGACAGCGACTGGCTCGGGAGCTGCATCCCCACAGGTAGGGAGGGAGGGGTGCCTGGGTTGAGGCTTCCCCCTATTCTGCAGACCCAGCGCTCCTGGAGCAAGTTGGGAGGGGCCTGGGAAGCAGAGACTGCCTTCTGTCCTCCGTCCCCTCTTCTGGACTGTGCGGCCTCGGCCTCTCAATCAGCTCTGCTAGGCTGCCTGCTTCCGACTCCCGGGATGCTTCGGGGAGGAGGATGACAGTCTAGGGACTGACTACGTGCTGGGGTCATGGACAGAGTCTTGGATCAAGAGTCAGGGGCCCTGGGGTCCTGGATAGTGAGGCAGAGGACCTGGCTTCCCTGTGGTGTGCTACCTGGCTGACCTTGGGCCAGGCCCTTTACCTTCTGCGAGCTCAATTTCCTCATCTGTGAGATCAGGAGCTTTGAGGTCCTTTCAGGGTCTTAATCCTATGACCCTACTAGCTATATCCTGGGACATTGGCCCTGGGAGCAGCTAGGGTCTCCATTTCCAGAATGTCTTAGAGATTGCATGCTGCTGGCTCTTTCTTTTCTCCTTTCTCTTCCCCACCCCCAAACACACACACACACACACACACACACACACACACACACACACACCCACTACCACCACCTCCCCTTTACAGAGGGTTGTCTAGTGACAGCAATTATACAGGGGTCCTCTGTGTAATTTCTACAATCCCCCCTCCCCCTTTGCTTATCAATTTCAGCTGGGTGAGATTAAGAAGCCCCCTGGGTTGAACTGGAGACCTTAACAGGGACTTAGAAAATGAAGCCCCTCATTCTGTAATGTCCAGGGACTTGTCTGAAGTCACACAGTAGCAGAGCTCGCATTTGAAACTGGGATGATACAGCAAAAACACATGAAAAAAAGATGAAGGCTGAGTGTTTTGCTCCCTCTCTATTTCTGACCACTGGCCAGGCTTCTTGGCCTACGCTGCCCCTCCCCCCTTACAAACCATCTTCCCTAAAGGCAGTTCATCCATGTTAACAGAAATGAAGGCCAGTCCTTCAGTTCTGTAAGTGGGGCATTGAAACAGACCTGACCATCGAAATGGTTTTGTGACTTTTCTGTGCTGACTTCACTCAGTTATTGTATGTGTTGTATGGTTATGATATGTATTGTACTTCAGGCTCTGCTTTCTTCATTCTCTTCTAAAAATTTCACATCTGTCATTCCTTCTGGCACAGCAATAGACCATTAAATTAATGTGTTGCTGTCTGTCCAGCAGATCCTCCTTGCTCCTTTCCCACTTCTCAGACAGTGAAACCGACACAACAGAGTGGAGCTCGGAGTCGACCCAGGTGTTCTGGCTCCTGGCTAGATTGAGGGCATTCTGCTCAGTGCCTAGAATGGGGACAGAGGCCATTGTATCCCATTCCTGATGTACCTGTTTCTCAACCGGGCATTTTCTATTAGCTAATTCTGATTGCTTTCTCCCCTGCTTTCTTCTAGGATTAGGTAAAAACAGTCACAACAAAAACCATCTCTCTCTCCCTCATCTCCTCTCTTCTGTGGGCCTGGGATTTGAAGGCCTACTGCAATACTTAGGAGCTGTCTAACTCTGGGCTAGTCATTTTGATTTGCAGAGTGGCAGTTTCCCCCTCTGTAAAATGGGGACAAGAGGCACAGCACATTTACTTCGGAGGGCTGCAGTAAGGAGAGAATTCTTACGAACCTTCAAGGGCTGTTTTTGCTGTTGCAGGTCCCACCCACCAGTGCCTCTGAAGATGGTGAGGATCTTGGCCAATGGGGACATTGTACAAGATGATGACCCTCGAGCCAGGGCCAGCACCCCCTTTCGGAACATTACGTCTCGGCAGGTAGGAGACGGGAACTCCTGGGCCCCATCGGAGCTTCTCCTGGTCAAATCTTCCTGACAAACTCCACAATCTGCACCATACACATGTCACAGTTGGATACTCCTCTTTTCTAAATTTTGTATAGCTATATCTACGTATAATAGATAGAAAGATGAATTTGGAATGGGGAAGATCTGGATTCAAATCCTTCTTCAGACACATGTAGCATAAAGCTATGTAAATCACTTTTCCTCTCTGTGAAGTGAGTATACTGGTCACAGGGATGTTATCATGTTCAAATTTATGTTAAACACCTTGTAGATCTTCCAAGACTATATTAAGGCAAGCTGCCATTAGTTATGATTATTTTATGATGCTCTTTTCCTACAACAACCTTGGTTGGGAGGTGGTGTGAATAGCCTTCTCATTTTACAGATAAGGACATAGATTCATAGGAATAGAATGTCATGCCCAGGATCACCCAGGAAGAGACTATGAGAACTTAGATTCCAACCCAGGGCTCTTTCTACTACCAAACCTCGGTAGCTGCAGCAACCTGACACCCGGACTGGAGAACTGCCTTCATAAATTATAATTTCTTGGACTCCCAAATGTAGCTGGGGATTCTGTCCATGTTTAGCAAACTTCCCCATGATGCCCTTTCCCTTGAGGTGGCATGGCATCATGGATACAGGTCTGGCCTTGACACCATGGAAGATCTGTATTTGGGACCTACTGGCCATAGGACCCTGGACAAGTCATCTGACTTTTTAATGCAACTCTCTTAGATGCCAAGTTATAGGGAAGTTGCTAATCTGCCTCTGTGGAAGGCATTTCCACAAGAGGAGTTCTCTAGGCAGGTCTAGAATTAGATTTAAGTGAGAAATTTTTTTTAAAAATTAAAGCAGAATCAAACTGAAGGGGAGTTGGTAGAACCAGGGGAGGAACAGAAAGCTTTAGCAGTAACTGTAAAATAATGCACATGTCCTCCTTTCAAAGGAGGGAAGGCGTGAAAGAGGACAGACAGATAGTCAGCATTGGAACAAAGCGCACTTGTTTTTGCCTGGCTTTGGAATGTGGTCAGATGCACCTCTCCTTTCTCAGCCTGAATCTGTCCCTTTCCTGTTCCGAGACCTTCAACAAGCACCTCCCATGTGCCCAGCCCTGTGCTAGTTTCTCTGAGGGAGACAAGGAAAGATATGTTCCCCCGAGAGACAGCACAGGATACCAGAAGCTTGGATTTCAGCCCCATTTGGGCTGCTCACTGTGTAACCTTGGGCATCATGCTCCCCTTTCTGGGCTTCTGTTTCCTCATCTGTTTAGGCAGCACAGCACAGTGGGAGGTGCTGGACTTGGAGTCGGACAGACCCAGATTCTAATCTTTGCTGGTGGTGCTTATTAGCTGCTGGGCAAATCGCTTAATCTCTATGAGCCTCACTTAGCCCATTTGTAAAATGGAGATAATACTTGCATTGCAGGCCTGTTGCAAGGCTCAGATGAGATCATACATGTAAAGGGCTTGAAGTGCATCAGCTATTATCTTTGTTATAATAATAATAGCTAGCATTTACATAGCACTTCAAGATTTGCAGAGTGCTTTAGAAATATGATCTCGTTTCATCTTCACAACAACCCTGGGAGGTAGGTGCTATTATTAACCCCCTTTTGCAAATGAGGAAACTGAAGCTGGCCGAGTTTAAGTGACTTGCCCAGGGTTATACAGCTAGAAAGTATGATGGCGGGATTCAAATTCAGGTCTGCTTGACTTTCAGGTCAATGCTCCTTTCAGGGTTCCACCTGGCTGCCTTCATTCCTCTTTTGGTTTGATGGAGTTCTGCTAATGATTTGTCCAAGGACCATTTCTATCCTCCTATTACCTTTTAGTCTGAGATGTTTCTCTGGTTATCGTGTAGGTATCATTATTCTTCTTCACTGAGGTTTGTTGGTTCTGAATCTATGATCTTATGATTTATTTCAAGGAACTTGTGTTCTACCTGGGATTCTGAGCAATGACCTAGTGTGGCTGAAAGAGGAGGAGTCAGCACTGCCACGATGTAACAGCTGTCTTTGCCCAATTGGCTGTTTTGGATAAATATTGGTAATAGGAAGTGCCTCCTGGTCTGGTCTCTCAGCCCCTTCAAAAAGCTCCTACGGGCAGATTCCATAGAACACCTGTTCTCCATGGTGGCTACCTGCTCAGGATTCCACCAGACTCCTTGGAGTTCTCTTAGTGTTGGAAGAGACCTCAGAAGCCATTTTACAGATGAGGAAACTGAGGCCCACAGAGGTTCAGTGACTTGCCCAAAGTCACATGAGACAATTGGTTGCCAAGCCAGTATTCAAATCTTCTCAGGTCATCTCATTCTACACCTATTGTCCTGTCTACTTCACCCATTTTTTCTCTTCCTCTGCAGAACTTTTTCACCAGAGGAGAAGGCCAACCTCATGGGGGCCCTGCCCCAAACATCCATCACTTGGGGCCCAGGCAAGGTGCCCATCGCTCCCCATTCTCTGACATCAACCAGCAGCTGGTGAACCTGGGTTTTCCCCTGTGGCACCTGGGGGACCAGGTGGTGGAGCCTGTGATGTCCATCCTTCTGCTTTTCTTGGTCATGATGCTAGGAGTTCGTGGGCTACTGCTGGTGGGCCTTGTCTACATGGTGTCCCAGCTGAGCCTTCGATGACCCTGGCGAGGGGAAGGGGGGGGAGCTCCAGGGAGAGGTGTGTGTGTGTGTGTGTGTGTGTGTGTATATATGAATAAGGAGGGAGGTGTGACTAGCTGGGGGTGAGAGTTGGGCCCTTCCACTGAGGCCCCTTACCTTTTGGGAAAAGGGCCCCAAGGAAACAAGGAAGTCTGCTGCTGTCTCCTAGTCCTGCTTAGTATCAGTCAGGAGGCCTTGCCATCAGGGGGGCTTCTCATCTAGGAGGCTTTCAGCTTCTAAGAACCCCACCCCCTTTTTCATCCTTGCAGCTGGAAGACCGTGTTAGAGGAGATCCCCAAGTTCTCTCTTAGTTCCTCTTCTAGACTGGACTGAGGCTTCCAGGAATGGGGGCTGGGAGCTGGGGCTGGAACCAGTACTCCAGGCCTGGCTCAGGCCTTGTCAAGCCTTCTTTCTAGCCTGGGGGATTTTCCCTTTTTCCTTCCATCTCCAGCAATTCCAAGGAGGAGATCCAGCCCATAGAGTCAGGTTACTGGCCGGTGCTAAACCTTGGACGCAGGATGCTTGTCTCTAAGTGAGACAAAGTTCCTGGAGATGATTTTTAACTGGGCAGGTCCCAGACAGGAGGGTCACTGCTTCTTGAGCCTGGGAATGGGGATAGGCCAGAGGGGATGGCTGATTCCTAGGGTTATTTTATCTTCCCCTCTCTGATGCTAAACCATGGGACTTGGTATCCCCTTGAATCTGAAAGGGAGAAGGCTTTTTTTTTTTAATTGCAGGGATCTTATCCTGACAACTCTGGCTAGGCTTAGCGTATAGACAGAATGAAACCTATATGTAGGTGTTGTGAGGAGGGAAGGGAGGATGGTAGGTATACACTAATGGCTTCCATCATTGCCTTGGGACCAAACTTGCTCTCTTTAAAGGTTTTTTTCTAAGATTTTTTTTTTTTTTGGAGGGGAGGAGAGGACAGAGGCAGGTCTAGAAGATTCCTAGCAGGACAGGCAAGGGCTTAGAGGCCAAGCAGCTCTGGAACCAGTGTGTGTGTGTGAGTGGATGCAAACCCAAGCCTTTCTTCTGGGCGTGTTTCATGGCCAGGGGCTTCGCTGGAGTCTTGTACCCAACGACAGCCCTGGGATGGGAAGTCTGGACCTGCTATGGGAGGGGCAGACCATGGGGGACTCCAGCTACTGGGGTGGATCACTGATGTTCCTGGGATGCTGGGGGAGCTCTCTGTCAGAACATGACTCCTTTCTCAAGGCAAGTCTTTGCTGTGTCTTATTTGTAGGGTGGGAGGAAGACACCTTGGGCATGGGACAGATTCCTGATAGCCCCTCCCCCCGTAAAATGAGGGAAGTGGGCCTCATCTGGTTCAGACATTCTGTGTGACAAGGATGCTTTTAGCTCTCACTCTCTGATGCGTCCCAAAGGCAAAAGAGAGGAGATAGCTAGAGATTGGGGAGCCCTGTGAATGAAGTTAAACCTCAAAGGTTTTGAGGCTGTAAACATATGTGGATTTGACCTTGAATTAGAAGGCTGGGAATCACCTGGTCTGCTGGGAACAAAAATGCAAAACCTGGGGTGGGTTTGGGAGGAGGGAGAGGGGGTGGGCTTTATTTCTTCCCGTCTTGCTCAGTCTCCACATACCAGCTTTCCAGTGGTGGTCTCCTAGGGCTGTTTCTCTTTTGCATGGAGTAGACCCACAATGCTAGATTTGCCTGGCAAGGCCAGGGTCTTCCAGGGTGGGCCTGAGGTGCTAATCCTGCCATATAAGGCCAGCTTTGAGGGGTTTTTGTTAATCCTGTGACTAATCCCCCTAAGTGGCTACATTTCCAAGTCAGTTTGGATTTGCAGCCTGGCTGCTCTGGGTTTCAGCCTCCCCCTCCTCCAAGTGAGTCATTAGCCTTGATTGACTTGGGATTGGTAACCTCAGGCTGTCCTACCCCAACCTCCTGCTTTCAGACTCCTGATTGGCCTGCCTGCGGAAGAAGGAACGATCTTTATGAACGGGATAATGGGATCACCGGAGTTTGAGCTGGAAATAACCATAGGAAGACTCTGAATGGAGCCCCTCAAAGCTCAAGGATTGAGTGACTTGCCCACACAGCTAGTGAGTGAGATGGGATCTGAACGTAGGCCGAGGTCAGAGCTCTTTCTCATAGCACCAACCTTCCGTGGAGAGCATCACCTGGACGTTGCCTCTAAGAATCTGCCCTTCTGAGCTCACGAGCTCATCCCTCTTCTCCACCCCCCTCCCCCCCAGCCATCTGTAGGGGGGATGGATCCCGTTTCATAGCTGGGAAGACAGGTAGAGGGCAGAAAAGATATCCACCCAAGGTCATAGAGTCCCACCGTTTAACTCTTTGATCAGTGACAGAAAGTGGCGATTTTCTAGCTGTCACTGCTAAGGAAAGAATCCCAAGTTGAGGTGTTATTGAGGGTCGGGTCTGGAAAGGACCTTACTAGTCCAGTCCATGAATTTCAGAGCGAGGGAAATCCATCAACGCGCATTTATCAAACACCTGCTATGTGCCAGATGCTGGGAATTAAACAGCAAAAGTAAAACAATCTTTATTGTTTAGTCATTTCAGACTCTTTATGACCCCATTTCTGGGTTTTCTTGGCAAAGATCCTGGAGTAGTGGTTTTCCATTTCCTTCTCCAGCTCATTTTACAGATGAGGAAACTGAGGCAAACAGGGTGAAGTGACTTGCCCACGGTCACACAGCTCATAGATGTCTAAGGCTGGAATTGAACTCCAGTCTTTTGTTCTAGGCCCAGCATTCTATCCCCGCTGCAGAACCTAGCCGCCCAAAGTGTAAGATTACAAAGCTAGAAAGGGGCCAGATAGAGAAAGGCTTGAAATGTCAGACAGATGAATTCATATTTGAGTCGTAGGGGTACTTAGGAGCCACTGAAGTTTGTGGGGTAGGCGAGTGATGTGGTCAGACTTTTGGAGGAAACTAAAGCCCAGAGTGGTTCACTGCCTAAGGCCCCTCCACCAGCATCACAGCTAGGACCAAACTGACCTCCTCTGATACACCAAGCCCAGGGCTCTTTCCACTAGGCTACCTTATCTTCTACCAGGATTGATTCTCAGTACTGCGGTGAGGGGAAAGAAGTCCCTGTGGATGGGGAAGTTTTCCAGGGGGCTGGGAATTCTTTTAACATGGCAAGAGTCCTTGGATCATCTGCTCCCATCTCTCTGTGCATGGTCTTCCTTGGGAAAAATATTTATCTGGCCCCTTCCTCCCTTCCCAGTCTTCTTTCATTTACTCCTCTTCCCACACTCTTACAGATGGGATAATACCCATAAAGCACTTAGCACAGTGCCTGGCACATAGTGGACACTGTTCCCTTCCTCTTCCCCACTCTGGTGTTTTCATGGACACTGGTCACTGACTGCACTTCTGCCCTGGCCGTCTCCCATGCCTGGAATGCTCTGCCCCCTCACTTCTGCCTCCTAGAGGTCCTTCAAGACTCAGCCCAGATCCCATCTTTTGCCAGTGCCTTCCCCTCCCCCCCCAGATTAGTTTTCATTTATCCCGTATCTATCTTGTTTGTAGAGTTGTTTGCATGCTGTCTCCCCTGTTAGACTGGAAGCTCTCCTGAGAGTAGGATTACATATTTCTTGGCCTTATTTTGTATCCCCAGAGCTTAGGACAGTACTTGGCACACAGTAGGTACTTAATAAATGCTTGTTGGTGGTGATGATAAATAATAGAGTTGTCGTCAGTGGCAACTTGTTGCCTTCTCATGGGAGTTTACATTTTAAAAGAGGACTTGGTGAGAGGGCAATGTTTAACTCAAAGGAAGGAGCCATTAAAGGTAGAATTTTAGATATCACAGGAAGAGCCGCTGTTTTGACAGGAGTTTCTTAGTGCCCCTCAAATCATCTCCTGTAGATGACCACTTATTGCACTTGAAAATATTTTCTTCATCGATTTTGTTTTTCTAGAGTGGATGGTCAGGCAGATTTTTTTTTCTTTTTTCAAATACATCTTAAAGATGTCTTTGGGTTTTACATCATTTCCAGGAAACTTTGTATTGTGCCAAAGAGAAAGAATTAAGCAAGAACAGTGCATATAGTGACTTATCTGCTGATATATACACCCCAATGTCCTAGTAGTCCTCCACCTCTTTGCTGTGGGTGGGGAAGTTGATTCCTCTCAAATGAGAATGGATTTCCTTGAGAAGGTTTGGAAACACTCAGTGCAATGGTTACTATACCAACCCTGTTGTTAATAGGGAGTCCTTCTTGGACTCTGTTTGGAGGTAGTGTAATACAGTAATACAGTGAAGAAAAAAACAACAACATTGAATTTGGAGTCAGAGGAACTGGGTTCAAGTCCTGGAATAGTTGGTGACCTTGGGTAAGTCACTTGACCCAGCTTGACCTTCATGTTCTTATTTGTAAGATGAGAGAGTTGGACTAAAAAACAGGTCTCCAGCAAAATAGCCATGTTCCCCTTGGTCCACATCTTCACTGTGCTCATCCTTACCCTCACATATAGAAGCTTTGTTTTTGAATTTTATTTAATTTTAATTCAAAACTTAATCAGATACAGTAAACATTCGCATATACAGTGTAGAAGAGAAAATGCAGATGGTACATAAAACCGTTCATTTCTTTCAGGTATAGCTTACTTTAACATAATGCTTTAATATTTGCCAAGCATTGTAAATAAATTATCTCATTTGAGACTCACAACCACTCTGTGAGGTCAGTGCTATTATTTTTATTTTACAGATGAGGAAACTGAGGCAAGTTAAGTGACTTGTCTAGGGTCATACCATAAGTGTCTGAGGTGAGATTTGAACTTCAGTCTTCCTTATCCCATCCATGTCCAATGCACTCATCTATTGCCCCACCTACCTGCCTAGAAAAAATACTTGGAATTCAACATGCATATAGAATCTTGAGGGATCCAGAAGGATTTAAGCTGAGACCTGAGCAGGAATCCCCCCCCCCTTTTTTCCTAGGCACTGGGGTTAAGTGACTTGCCCAGGGTCACGCAGCTAGTAAGTGTTATGTGTCTGAGGCTGGATTTGAACTCAGGTCCTCCAGACTCCATCTACTCTATCCACTGTGCCACCTAGCTGCCCCAGGAATCCCTTTCATGACCTCCTCAACAAGTTATCAGTTGACCTTTACTTGAACACCTTCAATAATGGGGAGCTCATTACCTTACAAGGCGGTCTAGTTTCCTTTTGGATAATTTATAGCAAGTTTTTCTTGATATTAAGCAGATCGTACTGTGTTTTCAACTTCTAATTTCTCCTAGATCTGCTTTTGGAGCTTAGAAGAACAATGCTAATCTCTCTTCCTCATGAAGATTTTTTTTCAAATAATTAAATAATTCAAGTAATTAAGGGCAACTTTCTTATCCTACCTAAGGCTTCCCTTCTCCAGGGCAGGAATCTCCATTTCCTTTAACTGGTCTTCAAATGGCATGATCTCAACATGTCTCACCATCCTGGTGACCCTCCCCTGTATGGGATGCATCTTATGAATGTCCTTCCTAGAGTATGGTGGGTGCTCAGGACTGAACACAGCTCTCTACATGTGGCCTGACCCTATCTAAGTTCAGTGGGAATGTTGCTTCTCCTTCTGGACACTGTTGGCTCATCTTGACCTCACAAGGCACTGAAGTCTCCTGTCCTTTTGTATACACAGACTAGGGTCTAGCCTTCCCTCCCCCCTTCCATACTTCTGCAATTGCTATTCTTGGACCAAGCATGGGAATTGATTCTTCATGCCTGTGATCTCATGGATGTGGACACTTCCTCCAAAGATGTGGATCACTGCCCTACCTATGCCCTTTTATGTTTATCCCTATTATTCTATTTTCTTAGGTTTACCCCACCATTCTAGCACACTGAAAGCATATGGGCCAATGTGGTCGAATGAGTGGAAGTATTAGAAACTAGTTCTCCTTTGGCACCTCCTTGCCAAAGATCTAGGGAATGCACTAGACTGGAATCTTATTGGGAAGACCAAGAAGTCATAGTGTCCCAACAACCACAAGGAGCATTCCAATGCCCAAGGACTGAGGGCCAAGACAGGGCTCCAGAAAGATATAACAGGGGATCCCTGAGAAAGCACTGGGTGTGGGAGTAGGTGCCATCTGGTAGCTGTATTGACCACCACCCGGTGTTGAGTCACAGATCTAGGGTGGAGAGGAATGGTCACGAACCTTGGCCCTGGCTGTGACTGAGCAAGAACCATATTCTAGGGATCGTCCTGTAGCTGAGTGGGTG